CTTGTTTGAAAGCCGCCTGTTCACTTCATACGCCCTCTTATCTATTTCTTATCTGGGGGCGGTCAAAGGCTGGCTGCGCTTTTTCATGTCTGTCACCAGGCACGCGGTTTGGGGACCGCCGAGCGCCTCTGTGGTTGGTTCGCCTGTTTCCCTGCTGGTCGCTCCGACAATCAGATAACAGAGGGTTTTTTTCACTTTCAGCGGAAGCATCTCAGCCAGGCGTAACCACCCAAACTGACTCGAGGAAGCTGCTGGGACGGTGGCAGGGGGTGGGGAGCGGCACGCTGGGCCCCCGCACCTCTTTGCGGCCGCCTTTCATCCTGATCAAGGGAAGGGCTCACAGCTGCTCTCCAGACCTTGCAAATGTGGGCTGCAGAGGCAACCGAATGGGGCATCTGTCTCCCTCCATGCCTGGTTGGCGCTGACCCCAGCCAAGGAACGGAATTCCCCTCCCCAAGGTGACTGGCCGGCAGGCCTGCTGCTGCTTTTCTTTTGGAAACCCCATGCATGAAGGAAGGAGTGTGCAGATGGCTTTGTCGTTGCCTCCCGGGCTCCCGCGAAGGCCGGGACGCGTTCCCCTTGTGGGGCTCGGCACAGAGATCCTAGGCAGTCCCGTAAGGGGTTTCCTTCCATTGGCTGGACCAGAGCATGCGCCTCCCTTGGCTTTTAAAGGCCACCCCTCCGGACTGCACATGCAGAGTTGGGTGTGTGTCATAGTTCAACAAGAGCACGGAGTATACTTCTGGAGGATTTGGGCTTCCTTCAAGTTTCTGCTTTTGGCTGTTTTTCAAAAAGGAGGATGGCGTAAAATGGGCATGATTGAAAGGGGTGGCTGATGGGCACTTAATATTTCTGAGCTTATGCTGTTTTTCCGCTGAAAAGCCTCCCAGAGATGCTTGCATGTAGTGAATACAAGGCGAATAGTGTAGCAAGAGACATGGCACACAAGGAAAAGGCGATGAGGAGGGAAGAGGAAAAAGCCACATGGTCTGCTGGTGGAATGGCTATGCTTATCCTCATCTCCCAAGAGAGGCACCTACTGGTGTTGTCTGAACCCAGCCAAGATAACCAACCCAGGTGAACAACCCGCAGTTCAGTCTAACAAGAAACCACAGGTTCTTTTCATGGGGTGGGTATCAGCAGATCTTGTTCCACAAATATTGGGACCAGAAACATACCTCTGTGCAAAATCATGTCTTACTTTGTTTTTATTTTGTCCCGCTGCTGTGGGAGGCAGTCTGAATTTTAAAATGTCACATGGGGCACCATGATTGGCCTTCAGGACATCTGTGACATTTATACATGCACAGAGCAAAAGACAGTCTATGCATGTGGTTTCCAGGAAATGTGAGCGCCTTTTTCTGCCCGTACTTGGGCACTTACAGTATTCGCACCTCTCAGTGGGTGCCAATGAGCGTAGGTGGCGCATCAGGACGCACTGCTGGGCCAGGAAGGCTGCAGCACGAAGCTGCGTTGCTTCCGCAAGAGGCAGTAATGGCCACCAACTCGGACAGCTTCGAAGGGGGGTGGGCCACACCCCTAAGCCTTCCCAAAGCGACACTCTTATTTATTTATAGCATTTATTTATTTATTTATTTATTTATTTATAAATAAATAAATAAATAAATAAATAAATAACATTTATATCCCATCCTACACGAGAAAAATGTCCCAGGACAGATCAGAAAATGATAACAATGAGTAAGAACAACCAATAACCACGGTAAACAACAAGCACATAATATCAGCAAAAATGAAAATCAAAATCAAACTCGGAAACAAAAGTAAAAATGAAAACGAAAAGTGCCTGTCGATGTTAAAACCAATTAAAATGTCTAATTCTTAAAATGATGGGTAAATAAAAAGGTTTTCACCTGGCGCCGGAAAGAATATAAAGTCGGCGCCAGGCGAACCTCTCTGGGGAGCGCATTCCAGAGTCTGCTCTTAGAGAAACAGAGCGAGTCAGAAGGGACCTCCCGGGCCATCTAGTCTGACCTCCGGCACGACATGCCACCCTGTGCATGTCCAGCCTATCTCTAACTCCTAGTACTGCTGGCTGCGGATGTTGGAGGCTGCGGTTCAGCACACAGCTGTGCTAGAGAGGAGCAGAGAGTGTGACAGATGGAGCGCAAGAGGAACCATGTGCATCAGACGCACTAGCTTGGCGGATCGGGCCCGTCCACCATTCCCCCAACACCATGGTGCTTGCCGATGCGTTCAGGGCCTGAATTCGCAAACGAGCAGGTCGAAGCTTCTTTCCAAAGCAGTGGCAGTGGCAACAGAGCAACCAGTTGTGCGAGTCTGTGGTGCAGAAAGAGTGAATGGTTTGCATTGTCTTCCTGCCTTGGCATTGCTATATAAAGCCAGCCAGTCCTTAGAAACCCCCGCTTGCTGTGACACTCGTTCTCTCCCTTATTCAACACGGACGCTTTAATATATATATATATTCCGTGTGTGCTTTTAACACAAGCTCTGATTCACGCTCTACGTTTTTTTTCCATGCCAAATGAAATTCTGATCATGAGTTACAGTTATGAATGCAGTTGGCAAAGGTTCTGTGAGATTGCCTCACTCCAGGAAATGTTTAAACGTTATTTTTCTTAGAAAGCGAGTTCCCACCCTTCTGGGTTTTTTTCCCTGATGGTTCTCTCCCCCCCCACCCCCAACTCCACACACGCGCACACACGCGCACACACACACACACACAGACACCTCTCCCACTTCGCCTCTGGCATCTTTACTCGACAGGAGTCTGCTTGTGTTGCACGCTGAAGCCAGAGCTGAGCTTGTCCTTTCCATGGCATGCATTTATGGCTAAGCTTTCCCAAGGATCAGCCGTTTGTCTTGTGTTCCTGGCTGGCCCGAGGAACTCGCCGAGAAATCCACAAATCCTCTGGAGTGGATCTTCCACCGATCTTGTGGGCAGCTGGGGAAAAAGGAAGCAGCCGATGCGTTCTGTTTTTAATACTTCACAATTCCAATCAACTTCCTTGCTGTGCGTTCCCGGCTTGGATTCCACCGACTGCCTGGGCTCCGTGATGGAAGTGTCAGATGCAGCGTGTGGTTTCTTCTGTGTCCTCTGAAGAGCCGCTCCGGGGCGGCAATCACTCTGGACCTGCTTTTTCTTCTGGTGTTGAGTGCTGGAGCGTGGATTCGGGGTCTTGCGACCTGGTCCGTCGAGGTTTGTGAGCTCCGTTCCTGTCCCGCGTTTGCTGCTGAAGAACTTGGATGTTTTCTTTCAGCGTGTGGGGAAATCTCACTGTCAGGCAAAAATTGGGCCGCTCCTGGCAGGGGGAAGAGAGGGTGCTTTGCACGTTGGTCTGGGGTCTGTCTTCGTCGTTCTACATCAGCGGTGGACTGTTTAGCTGGCCAGAAGTCACTGGAGGGATTGCAGCGCCCCTGAATGCTCACATCAGCTATGCCAGCCGGGGCTAATGGGAACTGCAGTCCAATGATTGGCTTTGTCGCTGTTGTACAGGGCAGAAAATTTTGGTATGCAGCGCTGCATTTCTGTCTCTTGAAACTCACTATTGTGGGTTTATGACAGTGGAAGCAACCAAGCTAGTGTGTTGTGGAACGGGAATAAAATCTGAGCTAACCCATGGATGGGGAGTGCATCTGCCAGACGCAGGTGCTTCTTAGCTTGTGGACCAGGAATGAGTTCAGCATGGTATCCAGGGCTCAGGAGTAAACTGCCCAAGCCCAGGAGTACCTCTGAGCATGCCTTGAGTAGATTTTCTTCTCTGCCAGGTAGCTGCACGCTTCACGTCTCTTACAGGTCAGGACAGCTTTGTACTTGGAAGAATGCAGACTTGGCCCAAGGAGGTTCCGTCAGAGACAGGGCCTTACTAGTGGTGGCTCCATGCTTGGAGAATGCTGCTACCCCGGAAAATACAGAAAATACCCTTCCCCAGCCATGTGTGTTTCAGATGTTTGGACTTCCATCAGCCCTAACTGCAATGGCCAATGGTCTGAACATTTGTTGGGAAAGGCTGTTCTAGGGCGTGGGAGTAGGGCAATTTCCACCACTCATGTCCTTCCAGATGTTTGAACTACAATCCCCATGGCCTCTGACCATTGGCCATGCTGGAGGATGGGACTTGAAATCCAAAACATCAGAAGGGCACCCGGTTAGAAAGGGTATGGAGCAGTTTTGCTGCCTATTTAATGTATGTTCATTTAAATTTTCTTATATACGGTTTTATTATTATACAATCGTAAGATGGCTTACAAAACAGCCAGACAAGATATAAATATATATTAAAAGGATATTACAACTGTAGTACATTTAGTGCCCACCTTTGCTTCAAGTAATTAAAACACATGATTAAAAAACCTGGGAGAATAAAAACATTTTGGCTGGTGCTGACACGAATAAAGCAGTGGTGCCAGGTGCACCTTCGGGGAGTGAGTTTTCAACTACATCTCCCAGAATCCCTGTCCACTGGCTGGGGTGCATGGGCATTGCGGTCAAGCACATCCGGAAGGAGCCAGCCTGGAAGTGGATTTTAGCCTCCGTGCTCTGGAGGTTAAGACATAGAAAGCTTGGGGGACCCTCCCTGGAGGTCGCTAGGCAACTGCGACATGCCCCCCCCCCCAATGACCAACACAATCCACATTTAGCTTGGAACCTGGAATCTTCCATCTTGCCGCAGGCCGAGCCGTTGTCCAAGTGGCCGTTTGAGAACCCTCCAAGCCTTCCAATCTGGGAGAGTGCGGACCAGTCCCTTCCGGGGGTGACGTTTCCGTAACTCCCGGTGCCCTCGAGTTGCCTGCCCAGACGAAGGGCGAACGGGACCTGTGTGCTGGTTTGCGCCGCAGTGTATAATTTCGCTTTTGCTTCTGTCGTTAGGCAGCGCTGACAGCCGAGGCCGTCTCCACTGGGCCAGCAACCTTCCTCGGCCAGACCGTGGGTGCCCAGCTGCCAGCGGCCCGGGCACGACCGATTGATGCCCCCGCTCCGGAGGCACATAAGTAGGTGACGGGGCCGACAGGGAAAGATGGGGCAGAAGGTCACGGGGGGGATCAAGACGGTGGATATGCGGGACCCCACGTACCGGCCGCTGAAGCACGACCTGCAGGGCCTGGATTACTGCAAGCCCACCCGGCTGGACCTGCTGCTGGACATGCCGGCCGTCTCCTACGAGGTGCAGCTGCTGCATTCGTGGAACAACGACGACCGCTCGCTCAACGTCTTCGTCAAGGAGGACGACAAGCTCATCTTCCACCGGCACCCGGTGGCGCAGAGCACCGACGCGATCCGCGGCAAGGTGGGCTACTCCTGCGGGCTGCACGTCTGGCAGATCACCTGGGCCATGCGCCAGCGGGGCACCCACGCCGTGGTGGGCGTGGCCACGGCGGAGGCCCCCCTGCACTCGGTGGGCTACACCACCCTCGTGGGGAACAACCACGAGTCGTGGGGCTGGGACCTCGGGCGCAACCGGCTGTACCACGACGGGAAGAACCAGCCCAGCAAAACCTACCCGGCCTTCCTGGAGCCCGACGAGACCTTCATCGTGCCGGACACGTTTTTGGTGGTTCTGGACATGGACGACGGGACGCTGAGCTTCATCGTGGACGGCCAGTACATGGGCGTCGCGTTCCGGGGACTCAAAGGGAAAAAGCTGTACCCGGTCGTGAGCGCCGTCTGGGGCCACTGCGAGATCAGGATGCGCTACTTGAACGGACTGGACCGTACGTATTACTGCCCTTCTTCTATTTAGGGCATCCAGGTTAAGAGTATCGCTCGCCCTCTCCCCCACTTGCTCTTTGTTTAATTCGGTGGGGGCATCCTCTGCTGTGGCTCCCTGTAACCCCCCCGTAATCGGAGTATTAGGAGAATCCAACCAGGAGTGGGGAGGGTGCCCTCCATGTTCCCTGCACCCGCGGAAAGCTTAGGCACTCAATTTTGGCCACCTGTCTTTTGGCCCTGCTTCTAAGCAGCGGGCCTTGAGCATCGCGGGTGTTCTGGGATCCTGGGAAGGCCTGGCTGTTCAGACCCCATAACGTCCCTTCCCAGCTGCAGCTGCAACGCTGCATTCCCGAGCTTGGAGCTGGGACTGTGAGCTGCCCTCCGGCTGGAAGTGGCCGGCAGGTTGCGCTCTTACTCCCTCTGCTTTTAAACCACACAATAGCCACGTTCTCTGTGCAAACTTTTTAAATACCACAAAATGAGACGGCCGCGCTATCGTGGATCGGAAGGCTTGGCAAGATAAAACCAGCCGGAAGGGCTGAAAGCTTTCCAACATCCTAAACCAAATTAAAACCAGAATAGGGTGCTGTTTTCCTCTGAGTCACCTCCTCATCAAAGTGAAGCGGCATCTCACTGTCACATCCACGTCGGTTTGAACTTTGCCAAATTCTTGTGCCGGGGCCTTAAAATGCCTCTCCGCCAGATCTTGTGTGGGATCCATTGTTCAGTCCAGGCTGGTGGTGTGGGTCTGACGGATGCAGTGGGGCCGCCTTGAGTCTCTCCCAAAGCCGTGGACCTTCCTGCTCCCAGAAGCGGCTGCCTCTTGCCTCTCTCTGTGAGCGGCTTCCTCCGGTCTGCCCTCTGCTGACAGGGCAAGGAAATGGGCCACCGCCTTGCCCTGGCCCAACAGCACTGCCTGAGTGTCCTGTGCTTGAAGGAGGGAGTCTGCGTTCTCTGCATGATCCCTTGTTTGTGGCCTGCTCTCCCTCCAGGCTAGGAGGTTAGCCCAAACTAATTAGCTCCATGGCAATACAGGGCTCCTCCGTTGGGAAGTAACACATCCTCCCTCGATCCGCGTGGAAGTAAACCTTCCTGAGTCTCCAGTTTTAATTCAGAAAAACCTAAAGCAGTGCGGACCCATGAGCTGGTGGCAACGGGAGCTTTGGCAAGGGGCTGGTGGGAGCTGGGAAGCAAGGCGGAGAGGGACACGGCCCCTTCGCCTGCAAAGCTTGGGTGTTTTGCAGGAAGCGCAGGCGGTGCCGGTTTCCCCCTCCTCGCTTGCCCACCCTGCAGTGGCGGGGGAGCCTCGCAAGTGGAATCGTGGAGGCCGTCAGCCTCTCTCGGGGCATTGTGGGAAGAAGCGTGCAGCTCCTGGGCGGTCCAGGCAAAGGACTGCTGGGAAGGCAGCCTCTCCTTGCTTTAACCTCCGCCCCAGGGACCAGCTCCAGCCTTCCCGTAGGAAGATTTGGCTCCCACTCTGGAAAAGTTAATTTTGCAGGTTCAGGGTGCTGAGTGGCGTATTTCAAAAAGCAGTGAAAGAAACTTCACACTGGGCCTGGGCACACATTTACGAATTCTTACCTCAGTGCAGTTTCAGTGGAAGTGTCCCGCCCGAGAATGGCCCTTTGCACATGCTCAGAGGCACTGCTCTCATTCTGTGCCGTGGCATGGGAGGATGATCCTGCCATACCTAGGACCTTCATGCAAGTTTTGCGGAATCTGTGCCCAGGCCAAAGCACTCTGTGCATGCTCAGAGGCCCCGTGCATTATTGACAGCCTAGGTTTATCCATCTTGCAAAGACGGCTTCTTCAGGCTTCTTAGAGCAGCCCGTAAGGTAAGCGAGACTGAGGCAGCAGCTGTCCCAAAGCCACCCAGTGGGGACCAGATCTCCCATCTCCCAGTCCCGGTCCAACACCTTCATTACCGTGCAAGTGGCTAGTCCTCACCTACGGTCTCCATCTTGAGTCATTTGACTTTTAAAGCATCATGTATTTAATGTTTCTGTCTTGCCTTTACCCCTCTTGTAATGAACCCAAGTCAGCTTGCTTCATTCTAACCTCACAACAACCCTCAGTTAAAAGTCAGTGATGAGCCCAGCGTGACCCCTGGCCCAGGGGGGACCCGAGCCCCAGTCTCCTGAGTTGCAGCCCAGCCCTCTAACAACTTGCTGGCTGTCACAACAGCCCTAAGAGGTAGGACAGGCTGTGCACCTGACCATGGTGCCTCCAGCAGAGGTTCCGCTGCAGGATCTGGGGACAGCCGCCTCCCATGGATCCAGCAAGCCAGCCCTGTGTTCTCTCTGGTGCGTACAGAATCCGCTCTTGTTCCACCCATGAATTCATGGGCCAGGCGCTTGGAATTCCTTTCCCTTTCCCCTTTTTTCTCCCCAAACTCGGCCAGCAGTAGGGTGTGTGTGCATTTCCCCTTTTCTCTGATCAAGGGCTCATGTCTTCAGCGACCTCAGTGGAAAGTCTGTCTGGGGAGGAAAGCGCAGCTGGGAAAAAGTCACTGCACAGAGGATTTGCCTGGCACGGGGACGGGGAGGGGGGCAGTTTATTGCCCGCAGCGGTGACGTACTCTTTGCGCAGGCCTCCAGGTGTCCGGCCTGCCTGTAGAGTCAGCAAGCCGTTTTCTCCGTCAGGAAAACGGAGCCAACAGGATCCAAATCTCCTTAGATCTCAGCCGGGGGCAGAGCCACTGCCTCAGCTGAGCCAGGCCAAAGCGCGGAGCCGAGCTGGATGCATGCATGCCCTCTTCCCCCTCTTTCTCTCTCCCCTCTTCGGTTTCCTTTTTTCTGGCCCTTGTGCAGCTGTTTAGTAGACAAACCCATTCAGTTTGCAGAGAGGCAGCAGCCAAGAAATAGCCTCTTGTCCTGCAGAGACGGAGCCAAGCTTGTTAAAGGAGAATCGTGAAGCAGCTGCGGCAGCGGCCAGGGCCGGGGCTGCCCTCTGGTTGTGCGGGCCTGCTTTGTCGCCTGTGTGTTTGCCCACACACCTGTACAACACGCTTTCCTTAAGCTGCTGCCGTCGGGTCAGTTCCAAACAGATCCGGCCAGAGTTTGGAGAGTTGGCGGCTGTCCACAGATGTGGGTAGCCTGTGCCGCTTTCCAGGTTCTTGGCTTTGCTTGTCACGCACATCTCTCGGCTTTTCTTCTGCCAAGTGATGTACATGGTCCTCATTCTCTACTTTATCTGCCCAACAGCCCTGTAAGGTAGACTCTGCCTGTCCAAAGTCATCCACCCAGCATTTGACCTGAGCAGCAGGGACTAAACCCAGTAGGCACAATGAGGACTAGAACCTTGAGTCCCCCAGCCCAACATTGCAACCAACTGCTAGCACCTTTGGGTGCAATTTTTTTAGGCAGAAAGGTGGGGCTCTGAGTTAACGAGGAGGAAGAGAACAAGCAAGTGAACTAGAGGGACAGAGAGCCGCGCGGGCAGGGATTGTGATGCTGGTCTTGTGGCTAACATTGTGGGTTTTGTTTCTCCCTCTTTTCTTTCTTTTCTTTCTGCAGCTGAACCCCTGCCCCTGACGGACCTCTGCCGGCGCTCTGTGCGCCTCTCTCTGGGCAGGGATCGGTTGAACGAGATCCACGCGTTGCCGTTGCCGGAATCCCTCAAGAGATACCTTCTTTATCAGTGACCCCCGTCTGGGCCAAGCAGGGGGCTCTCGCAAGGGGGAAGGGAGGCCAGATTTACTGGCTGTGGCATCTCCGGGGACGTTGGTCCTGTGGACACACACCACCACCACACACACAATGCTTCCCGTGCACCCGTTCCGTTTGCTTCTGTGGGTGCCAGCTTGAGACACATTCCCCGCTACTAGGCCAAACGGAAAACCGTCCTTGGAAAAGATCCGGATCACGCTCCGCTTTCTTCCTTACTCAAGCAGCGGTCTCCAGCAGGGGAGAGATCCCACCTGTCCAAGGCACACGACCCACCAACGGATCTCGTGAAATCCCCTGTGTGCACCCATTTCTTCGCGAACTCTGGCATCGGACCGATCCCTGGCTGGAAAAGAGAGGTCAGCGAGGGAAACAGCAGTGTGATGAGGGTGTGCGAGAGACCCCCTGCGAAGGTTGTGGATCGGGAAGGCCGACGCACTTCTGTGGAGTTCAGAGGAGCGACATCCCGGACCCCCGGCCTCGGAACCACAGGCAAAGCAAGCTTGCGTCCTGTGCTGTGTGTTGGGCGAGATTCCTGGAGCCACTGGGTGTCCGAAGTCTGTCTTGCCTCGCTCTGCACCACCCGCAGTGTTTCCCCAGGTCCTCTTTGGGCTTGTGTGGGCCTCGCATGCTGTGGAAGCCACACGTGGGGCACAGGGCTGGGAGACACGCGACGCGCGAACACGACGCCTCTTTCTGGGTATTCACTTGAACTGCGGCCTGGGGGCCGGGACGTGGGGTGCGGGTCGGTGTGGCGAGGATGCCTGTGGACGGCACGCAGGCGTCTCCTCCCTTTGCGAGCAGCGAGGGCTTTGGAGTTCGCTCTCCTCGACTGATGTGCCTTGACTTGCTGGGCCTAAACCAGCCGTCCCAGACCCTGGTGCCTTCCAGGTATGGACCGCCACTCCCATCATCCCCAGCCAGAGGGCCATGCTGGCTGAGGAGCATGAGGCCTGCAGTCCAGCACACCTGGCTTCAATCCAAGCCATTTTCTGTTCCAACTTGAGCTGCCCCCCTCCCCTGTCGTTCTTGTTATCCTTGAGTTTCAGTTGAATGTTCTGTGTGTTGAGATAACCCGAGTTCCACCCTTTGCCTGCCAACTCTCTGCACGCTCCCTTGAGTCCTCTCTTCGGCCCACCGGTGGGGCTGCCAGATAAGAATAGCTGTATTTTGGCAGTTTGGGCTTCCTGGGTGGGTCGCATGGTGCAGTCCATCAACACTGTAACTCGAGCACAGGGTTTGAGCTGTCCTCCTTTGCCAACCTTGAGCTGAAAGCCCGTTTTCCTTTATCCCCACCCCAGCTGCTTGTCTCCGGTGTAGGTCAGCAGCCAGGTTACGGATCTGCAGCTTGCAGCCGATACCCTGTGCCAGACCTACCTGTTGAGGTTGCAGAGCAGCAGAAAGGAGCTGAGTGGTCCTGTTGGAACGCCACCCCCTTACCCGTTGGGTTCGGGGGCCGAACGTGAGTCAACACTAGAAGACTTGGTGGGCTGGATCCAACTACCTGTTGTACTTCCAGGCATAAATGAGTTGATCTGGGTGTGATTTTGCTTCTTGAGAAAGACCAGCCTTCTAAGTTGCCTTCACAGATGGGTTTATTTTGCACATTTTTTTTCCAACGGGGTAGGAAAATACATCTTTTTCACCAGCTTTGTGTAGGGTGTGTTTAATTTTTAAAAAAAATCTGTATAGGTACAATTGAGCTTATTTGTTGGAAGATGTTAATATATTTTTCTTTGCTTTTTGTATGTAAAAGGACTGTGTTTGGGTGTTCGTTTTTAAACAATGCTGCTGTAGGGAATTATTTTTTTTAATGAAGAAAATCGCCTAGGTTTTTTGTTTTGTTTTGTTTTTTTAAGAAAGCACGCAACTGGTGCCAAGATCAATTCTGGGAGGAAAACTTGACCTGCCTTTTTTAAAAAACCTGTTACAAGTGGGACACTTTAAAATTGCACAAAGAATTTTAATGTGTACAGAGCCGAACGTGTTTTTTAATTACCTTCAACCTGACTCGCATCTTTTCCACATCACTGGGAAACTGCCACCTGTTGTATTGTCTCTCCACAGCCGTCTTTTCCTTCTTCCCACCTCTTCCTTAAACCTCTTGGTGTACCTGGCTTGTACTGTTTTTAAACCTCTCACTAGTTCCCCCCCCTCCCCATTGATGGTAGATAATCAGTAATCAAATTTAAAAAATAAAAGTTTATTAATTATCAAGAGCTGGCAGTTGTTGTTTTAACATAACAGAAGTGGAGTGAAGCCGCATTGGGCGAATGGAAAATGTGTGCACTGAATTCAAATTCTTAAAGTATTAAGAAGCAACACAGTTTTGAGTTACCCTTAAAGCCGATTGAATTGCTAACCTCAATTTTGGCTGTTAAAAACAAGAGCGAGATTTAGAAAATCAGGTATAAGGAGTGTTGTATTTTTTTTTTTTTTTTTTGGCCCAGGGGCCAAATTGCGCTATGGAGAAGCTCTTGATGCCAGGGGTGGGGGAAATTCATTAAAGCAAGAATTAATCTGGAAATAACAGTGGAATTATGTCCAGTGTTGCTAAGCGAGTGGATGTGGTAATATCCCTCATGCAGGTCAGCAATGCGCTAGCGAGTGGGCACTCTTTCTTGCTTGCTAAATCGAACTCCCTTCGCCAGGCCAAACGGTGTAAGAATCAAGTTTGGGCCTGGGTAATGGGTTAGGGGAAATGGGAAACCGAAGCAGGAGAGCTATTCTTTTTTTCTTTTCCGCTTTATAGCCTACCTTTTTCCTACAAAGGGCTTAAGGCAGCTTGCATCATTCTCCTCCGCCATCTTATCCCCACAACAACAACCCTGTGAGGTAGGTTGGGCTGAGCATCTGTGACTGGCCCAAAGTCACCCAGTTGGCTCCATGGCCGAGCGGGGACTCGAACCCAGATCCTCTGAGTCCCAGTCCCAGGCTCTTCACCACTGCACCACACTGCCTCTCCCAGTGAAACTATTCTCAGTTTCCTCATTTTCCAGGACTGTTTTGAGGACTCGCCTCTTCCAACATGCTCCGACTGCAAATAATTTTAGCCGCCAAAGTTGCGTTTGGTGCTTCTGCAGGTGTGCCTGACCCGATTCGGTTGCTGTTGGAGATGATTAAAACTAGCAAAGTATGTACAGACCATCCCCAAGGAAAATCCACCTTGAGTTCAGACCATATGTGGGCAAAAGAAGTCACCCCATTTTTGCCTTCACGGATGCTGATGGAATGTGCGTTGTGCTAAGCCATAAACCGCCTGGGGGGGGGGGAGGGGGGAATATTTTGTCCGTGCTCGCTTCCAGACAGCCAAACAGGTGCCCGACCAGCTGTAACAAGCGGCTGAAATAAATTACCCCCTTCCAGTGTTGCGGTGTTTATGTACGTCGCTGGGTAACGCACGGCCTCCGGACGGGGAGACGAGGAGCAGGAGGCAGGCCCTGGCAGGGTGCGATGCGCCTCGCTCAAAGCCGCTGCGCATCCGCTGTGCAAACCCCATTTGTCAAGCTGCGCACACGTTCCAAAGGCCAGATTTGCTCCTTCGCCCGAAAAATGACAGTGCGGCTTGAGAAGGGGGTCTCCCGGTAGAGCTTGGCTCCCCCCGCTCTGGCTTTCTGCTTTTTGCTCTGCTGTATTTATCTGGTGCTTCCCCCCCCCCCCCCGCCACCGGTAGTCATGCGCATGGAATTTCACCTTGGCAGCAAGCATTCGCTTGCTCGCCTTTGCCAAGCCTGTGAGATGATGTGCTCTGATCCAGGCAGCTTGGCTGGGGCACTGGGCGGCTTCCCTCCTCTCCCTCAGCGTGTGGCTCGGCGAACAGAGCGGCTTTGCAGACCTGTGGCTTCCACCTGCGGGGTTGGAGGCCGCTTTTGAAAGGGGAGTTTCAAGAGAGTCCAGTCCCCCCCCCCCCCCCCAGCCCCTCCTGTGATCCAGAGTAGCTTGTTCTGCCCCTGTGCTGGATTGGGTCAAGGCCTGGGCCATGTTGCCCCTCTGCCATGGAGCTTGCTGGGTGATGTCGGGCCAGTCACTGGTGCTCATCTCAGCCTACCTCACAGGGTTGTTGTGGAGCTGAAATAGAGAAGAGGGTCGTGTGCTTTGCATTTGGTTCCTTGCATGAGGCAAAATAAACGCTATAAGATTTTTCCGTCCATCCATGTTTTGCAAATTGCCAGCAAAGCCATCGTTCAGGAATATCAGGACTTGCAGTGTGCCACCCCCAAAAAAAGCAAAAAAGGGGAGAAATACCTCTCTCAGGAGGGAAGTTCCAGAGGCGTTCTAAATGTATCTAAGGAAAGTGTCTCTGAGCATGTACAGAGTGTTTTTCCTGGTTCCAGGCCACCTGCATAGTAGTCATTGCCGACATGGTGCCGCTCCATGTTTGTCCTCACGAGAAGCCTGGGAGGTAGCTTAGGCTGAGAGTCGGGGACCGGGCCAAAGTCTCCCACAAAGCATCACGCCTGAGCGGGGACTGGAACCCGGTTCTCCCAGGTCTCCAGTCCAGCACTCTCACCGCTATACCACACTGGCTCTTGGTGATTTAGTTCCCACTCCCAAACTTGCACAAGGGGCAGAGGGCTTCTCTGAGGGTCCTCCTGAAGGAGAGCTGAAGGGCGGCTCCCCGGAGAAGGGGCTTCTCTGTGCTGGCACCCGATTGTGGAATTCGCTGCCCAGAGAGCTTCGCCTGGCGCCGTCACTTTATTCTTTTCGGAGTCCATTCCAAACCTTTTTATCTGTCCAATCTTTTAAGATGCGATCGTTTTAATTGGGGTTTTATTGTTGGTTGGAAATTTTATCAGGATGCTGTGTTTTGTTTTATTTTTTTACCAAACCCCAGTAAGGGGACGGTCTGGAAAAGTTTTAAATAAATGAGTGCATGAACATCCTGCTCTAAGGGAAGAGTGAAAAAGCAGGAGAAAGCCAGAGAGAAATCTAGAGGGGGCATGAAAAGGGACATGCTGTGGAGGGGGGCATTCAAGGTGAGTTGCAGTCCTGCAAAGCTTGCAAATGGTGCAGGTAAATCTTGCCAACGTTACCTTTGCAAGAGCCCACCTGCCAAATCTCGCCCGAGCGCTCTGCTCAGGCACCGAGTCCCCCTCTGGCCCGCTCGCTGGCCAAGAGTGTAGACGCATGTGTCATTGATTTAAACATGTGTTTATAAAGTTTTCTCCACCCCAGTATGTTGAATCCAAAAGCCCTTCAAGGCATTTTAGTTTTAGCTGAATTATGATCCAGACACTAGACATGCAAAGAGCTGTGTTCGTTTAACAGCCGTGTTAACGAGACAGCTGGATACTTTCAAAGACGGCGAGTTGACTTCAGTCTACCGGGTTCAAATGATAACGGATGCTCAAGGGTTGGATGGGGCTGGGTGTTGTCTGAACCCAGATGCACTAACAGACCGTGGGGTTAACCACAAACAACCCTCGAAAAGAATCCACGGATTGTTAGGATGTGAGCGCTGGGGTGGATCAGCCTGGTTTGGCTCCTAAGAGCACCAGCATCTGGAAGCTCTCAGAACCCACTAAATGATGAGTGAAATTCTCCTTTGCATGTTTAATTCATGTTTAATTCAAATTTGCTGGGCTGAATAACTTTAAACCTGGCCTGCCTCGCAGGACGGGTCTGCAAGAGCCCTTTACTCTTGGTCTTAGCTCATGGAGTTGTGGATTCTCCAGTGGAGCGCCTTGTAATCTACGGATTACAATTCCCAGGATTGCCTGGGAATGAAAAACAGGCATGAAGCCTCTTATTTGCACCCTCAAACAGCGTGTCCAGCGGCTTTTAAACAAGGGCTGTTGAGGCATTTATGGTGCGCTTGCCACCTGTCTTACAGATGTTTGTGGGTCCTTCCTCGTGTGTGTCTTTCAGCCAGTTTTGCAGGTCTCTCTAGAGCAAAGGGAATGCAGAGTTTTTCTGGAAGACGTGAGGATTCACAACAGAAGTTTGGGGTAAAGTCTAAAGTCTGCTCTGTTCAACCTTGGGATGTTGAACAGAAAAGCAGAGGGAGAAATCCACATGTGGAAAGGGTATTTTTCCTCTTGAAGGAAAGTGGACGAAGTGTCGGTAAAGCTCGCGGTGAAATCCTTCGTGGAGAAAAGCCGTTCCACTGCATCCTCAGCGTTTAGGATTTGTGGAAAGACCAAAGCATACAAGTTTATGGGTAAGCTGCATTGCTAGGTAGAGAGATCCCCAGCCAGGTACCTAGCCTACAATTCTCATTGTTTTAGATCCTCTTGCCAGCCAATCTAAAGCAGGTCAAAAGGATAATATTAGTTTAAGCTAGCCAGTCTTTCAGTTCTGATAACACTGTTTGTGTTGGCCCTGGGAAAGAATGCGTTGCCTCTTGGTCCACCCCAAGCCAATTAATTCTCCATCAGATCTTAAACGAGCTTGGAATGGGAGAGCGAGGCCAGAAGAGCAGGCAAGCCAGCTTCCTTTGGGCAAGAGTTTTTTGGTGGTCCCTCTTGAGTGAGGAGGCCGTTGTCACCACAACTGTCACCGGCTGTGTTTGGTTCTCGGCCTCTTGTCACTTGTTGGCTCGACAGTAAGAGAAGCAGGAAGCAACCAGGGCTGCTGGGGACTGAAAGGAGCTGGGGATCGGGGCCACGGGGACGGAAGAGTACACAGACCTGTATACGCTGTAAAATGTGTGTGTGTCTCTTCCAAGGACATCGCTATTGCATGTATGGACAAAGAAGGGGATTGGATCTACCGAAAAAAGAACATTCCTCAAGCAACATGATATGGAGGGACACAGGCGGCGAGCACAAGCTAGCCAAAATCCACGGAATGTCTCTTTCAGTGACTGCATTTCAGGCCCCTGGAATTCAGATTCTGCAGGGGCCCTCGAACAGCTGGGCAGAGGCCCTCCCGGGGTTTCAGGACCCCAGAGGAAAGATTTGAGGCTCCAGCCCTGGTGAGCCAGTCCTTAACACAGCCTCTGCAGGGGCATCTCAGGTGCCACCGCCTGCCAGGTGAGTGATGGGGAAGGGAAGCAGGTTCGGGGGCTGTCTGCAGAGAGAGAGAAGCCCCGGGGCCCAGGTTGTGATCAGTCCCAAGTGCTCCCTCGCTATCCCAGACGCTGGGCTAAACAACCCACCGAGCACAACAGGTAAGATGCCACTTCGTTGGGAGAAGCACCATGTTCTGCAAAATCTATTTTTAAAAAACATTAAGGGGGCAGGGGAAGGAGGATGGAGGAGGGAAGGGACCACAACAG